ATAGAAAAAATACAATAAAGATTATATATTTAAAAATAAAAGAAATAAAAAAGATCAAGTGTATTTATTAATAGTAAATTAAAATACCTTTATTTTTTGCCTAAATGGCATCTTTGGTTTCTGAAATAGAATGACAGTGCTTTCCCCCGCCCTTATTATTTTTTATTTATTTTTAATTTATAAATCATGTTTATTCTATTACAGTTGTCTCAGCTTTTCCCCCTTTACCTCCCTCCACCCATCCCACCCCCACCCCAACTCCCACAGTCAATTCCCACTCTGTTGTCCATGTCCATGGGTCATTCATACTTGTTCTTTGTCTTGTTCCCCTTCCTTCCACCATTGTCCTCTTTCCCCATCCCCTCTGGTCACTTTCAGTCTGCTCCATGTTTCCATGCCTGTGGTTTACTTTGTTTGTTAGTTTATTTTGTTGAGTAGATTCCGCTTATAGGTGAGATCATATAGTGTTTGTCTTTCATCAACTGGTTTATTTCACTTAGCTTAATATTCTCCAGTTCCATGCATGTTGTCGCAAAAGGTAGGAGTTCCATCTCTCTCTCTCTCTCTTTCTCTCTCTCTCTCTCTTTCTTTCTTTCTTAAATGCAGATTGATTTTATTTATTTTTTAAATGTCAAAATTAATTATAAAATATTTTTAAAATTTAAAACAATTATAAAGTCTCAGCAATTAAACCAACATGACGCCAGCACAGAAATAACCAAGTAGATCAATGAAATATAATGAGCATTCTAGAGACAAACATATGTATCTAACAATATAATATATGATTAAGTTGATATTTCAAATCAATGGGTAAAATAAGGCTTATTCAACAAAGAAGGTACATGGACCATGATTACTTGAAATAAAACAAATATAGAGTCCTATTTCACACATTATACAAGAAATATTTAGATGAGTTAAAAATCAATATGTAGAATCTAAGGAGTTTTAGAAGAAAATAGAATATTTTTCATGACCCGAAGTAAAATATTCAAACCCAGAAGCTATAAAGTAAATATTGACAATATGACTATATTAAACATTTAACTATATAGTAATATACATATAAAAAAATTAAAGGACAAGGAATAGAATAGAAAACTATTTGCAACACATCTAAAATATGGTTAATAGGGTTTTTTTGTTTTTGTTTTTGGGTGTTTTTTTTTTTAGGGGGGAAAACGTCTACAAACCTTTAATCAATAAATAGATAAAGAGTACCAAAAAGTCATTTAAAGCTTTTTTTAAAAAAAATAGTAGAAATAGGCAAGAAATATACTAAAACAGATTTAGTTTCAACAGATAGTAAAGGAACAATTAAAATAACATCATTGTCACAATCAGATTAATGAGTATTAAAAATATTGGTAAGATCAAGTATTGGCAACTCTAAAAGGAACTAGGTATTCATAGAAACTTTTCCTTCATCTTAAAGCACTCCCTTTAGCATATCTTGCAGTGCTGGTTTGGTACAGGTGCATTCTTTTAGCCTTCTTTCATCTGGGAAACTCCTTATTTCGCCTTCCATTTTAATTGAGAGCCTTGCTGGGTAGAGCAGTCTTGGTTGTGGACCTTTGCTTTTTATTACTTGGAATATTTCTTGCCATTCCCTTCTGCAAAGCTATTCTCTAGTCACTCACTGCCAGCAGGTCCTAGATTAAATTCTGATCTAATCAAATAGTTCTTTTTTTGATTAAATTATTCACATACACAAATGATCACACACCATGTGCCTGCACAAATAGGAACATACTATAACACTGTTTAGAACCTTAATTTTTACTGAACTACGTATCTTGGACATCCTTTCACTTTAGTGGCTGCTTATTCTTTTTAACAGCCACATAGTATTCCAACCTAGGGATGTGCCACAATTCATATAAATAAACGTACTTATACAGTATACATGTGTGTGTCTACACAAACATACATACCCACACACAAACACAGATGGACTTCTAGTTTTCCTGTCGGGCAACTTCCACACATATGGGTGTGTCCACACTGATTCCTGGCAGAGAACTGCTGGGTCAGAGGTTCTCACAGGTGTTGCCCAGGGGCCTGCAGAAGTTGTCCTGTGTATGTGAGTACTGCCCCGGCCACTCATCACTGCACTGTATAGCCAGCTCTCACGCTGCCCTTCTCAGTGGTGGGTCATGGCGTCTGGCTGTAATGGACAAACCCACCCTATACAGGACAACTTGGGGGGAATGTTGATTGCCACTGAGGATCTCCATTTCACTGACCTGAGCACTGAGAGGGGTTCTGGGCTGGGTGAGAAGGTTGAACGGAAGGGGTTTGAGGCCGCCTCCTTGCCCATAGCCGCAGAGTGTGGCTGTGGGCTCAGGGATGTTGAGCACTGAGCCTGAGCTCCTGTGGACAGGAGAAGGCTGGTGGAGCCCCAAGACACTTTGCAGGAGGGGGCTTAGATGTACTGGCAGCCAAATCCTGCTTTTATATCCTACGGACCCTTCTTAGCAGCAGCTCCCAGGTTTGAAGAGTCACCACTGGTCCTTAGGTTGTGCTTTCAAGGTGCTAGACTCTACTTTTAAGCTCTTCACAAGGTCACTTCTGGGTTCTCAAAATGACCAAGTATCATAGGGACTATTGTTATGCCCACTTGCTGGATAAAGGAACAGAGACCCATGGAGGCCCAGAAACTTCCCAAGGACACACAGCTGGTCAATGGAGAAGCCTAGCCAGTAACCCAGGTCATTCTTACTGCAGATCCCCATGCTCTGGCCCCATCCCCCCGTGCCTTCTCCCTGTGCTAAAGAGAAGACCTGGCTACTGCTGGGTAAGGGACTTTCTAAAGGGCAGGTCACAGGTGCAGAACTCGGGCAAGATGCAAAGGCAAAGGCCCCCTGCACCCTGCCCCTGTGCTGCTGTCATAAGCAGCCATCAGGCTTGGGCGGGGAGGCTCCCACACTCTGGCACTGCTAGGGGACTGGTAGGAGATAAAGGCCATGTTTCTCACCAGGGAGCTGGAAACATTTCTTATTTAATTTCATTCCTTTATTTTGCAAATGGACCCTTACGTTCTTTTTAGGTACCATTATAAGAAGTTAGGAGAAGCCTAGTGAAAACTATGTGGTTAGTAATTGCAGGAGGAATACGTATTTTGCAATCTTTAGTGGATGAAAACTAATTATATAGAGCTTGTGGGGTTTTAGCTTCACAAAGAAGAAAAACTGCCATGATGAAGCGTGCAGACAACTAGGGCTGAGGTCTCTGTGGTTGACTGAGGCCGGAAGTGTGTATTTTTACCCAGGAACTGTAGGGGCTAGAAGATGTTTAGTGGAGGTGAGGTATGGGAACTTGGCTTGAGAAGGAACTTGGCTTGAGGATGCCGGGGCCCAGTGTACTGTGTGAGGTTAAGAATGCAGACACACACAGACCCCTAGCCTGCGTCAAGTGCTCATTACCAGGAAATGAGGGTGAATTGGGTTTGTGCTCGTCCAACCACAGAACAAGCAGCTCTGGGCTTTTATTTATTAAAATGACAAAGGCTTACTGAATTTCTAGAAGAGAGATATTTTTCTCTTTTCTCTTTATAATTCTTAGTGTGTTCATGTTGTTTACACCTCTTGTGCATGAATCACTCTTTTTCCCAGACGTCTCCAGGTGGCTGCTGTGCGCCGTCTGCCTGAGTGACGGGAAAACCTCACAGTTCTTCGGGTTCATCCCTCATGGGTCTATCAGCTAAGCCAGCACCCCCCACCCCAGCATTTAAATAGAAGACAGTGGTTCCATGTGCTGAGTGGATATGGCCTTGTCCAGGACACTTGTCTGCTTGCTAAGATATGAAGTTATTTTTGCTGACAAGTGGCCATCAGAGGCAGCTACTGCTGCAGGAAAGACCCAGACTCAGTCTTTGGAAGCCTTACTGCGGTGGGCACTGATGAATCCTAACCATTTTCTCCTGGTACTTTGGGCTCTCATTTGCTAAAACTTGAGGTGTTTGTTCAGGGTTCAAGAGGCATGTCGGGCTCCGAGGGCCTCAGGTGACCCTGGAAATCGTGTGCCGCAGGTGGATGTGTAAGAGTGGTGTGCACGCTGGTCTCTGCTGTGAGCATGCTTGGTCCCACTCGTTAAGGCTGTGAGAGAGAGCTGGGGCACCAGCCGTGTTCCCAGGAGTCCCTCCTACTTCTTTGCTGTCCTCAGAGAAATGGCAAGAATTGTATAAGCTCTTAAAGCAAAACAAAATAATACTCCAACAACAACTAATGCCAGAATTAGATTCTCAGGTTTAAAAAGTATGCTGGATCATTTGCAGCCATAGAAGTGTCAGCATCCGTTTAACCAGCCACCGACCACTTCCTTAATCCTGCACGGTGGGCTCTGGTTTTGCCATTCTGATTGTCTTTGTTGAATAGTTGGTGATTTTACTGGACTCAGGCCCCTGTATTGAGGGCTCTGTCCTGCACTGTGCAGGAATAACACACCCACCACAGAAACTTGCTACACCAATGTGGAAATTCTACTGTTTGGCTTAAAAACAGCAGTCAAAAACAAAGAAAATTAGGAATCTAAACAGGTTCTTCAGGAAATCATTTTCTTGTAGGTATTTTGTATTAATATTTTGCCTTCTCTTTTATTGCCTCACGCCTTTGGGTTTCAAAGAGGATAAGTTCTAAAGGATATATCTGAAGTTAATAGACAATTCAAGGATACCTTTTTGATTAATGACTGTGACTGTGACTGTGACTCATTTTGTGGGGAAGTGGTGACAGTCGGGGTTGGGGACCAGCTCCCTACCTAGGTGACCAGCTAAGTAGCGTGACCTTTGTTTATGGAGGAGTGATTGCACACTCACTCCCTGTTTGCCAAGTGCACAAATGCCATTCTGATCCTGGGTCAGAGAGTCAGCTGCCAGAGGGTCCAGAACTTAAAAAAAAGTTAGGTGTTTCTTTTTAATACTGTTCCAGAATTAATACTGAGTTTATGTGGACGGACAACTTAAGTGTTTAAATGTTCCTGTTTCCCATTATTTCCAGAGCAAAGATTTCTGAAGACTTCTTCCTAGAAACGACTGGGAAGTGTTGAGAGACACAAGATACAGGTAAAATCACTTTTTTCCCTCAATCTATGTCCCAGTTTATCAATGTTGACACCTTGTGAAGCCTCAGTGAGATTCAGCAGAAAGTCGGTTGTTGGTCCCTGAATGCTCTGGGGAGGTGGAGCCCAGGGGCCAGGAGGTACTGTGCACCTGGACTTCTGTGCATCACCTGATTGCCCTTCCCCCCACCTCACCTTTCCCAGCTTGTGCTGCTTCCCCAGCTCTCTGGCTGGTGGCCCCTGCTCTAAGCCCCGAAATGCTCCATCTTCTCTTTGGGAGCATATGAGTGTTGTCTGTGAGGTCCAGTGTAAAAAGAGGGCAGTCATCGTGCCCTGGATTTGGACTGTTTAGTGATTAATTTTAATTTTGGTTAGTTAATACATGGTCAACCATGTATTTCCAGGTTTATAGGAAAGAGAAATGCCAGTTTAATTTGTAAAAATGAAAGCCCCAATCTCTTCTCACCCTCTTCTGTCACTTGACTGTCGTGAGTGGACCAACAGGACTGTAACTCTGCTGGCAGCAGGGTCTTGGGTGTTGGCCATGTATGTGGGGCACAGCTCATGGCAGTTTGGTGGGCAGCATCATGACACAGCTTTGGACACTTAGCACTGTCTGTTTCTTGGCTGGTCACAGACACACACATTTTGATAATGGCCTGGTCTGCTGGACCGAGTTCCAAAGTTTCTTATTGGTGTGCTAGGTCACTACACTAACTAGGAATTCCAAGCCCTGGAATTTACATTCCAAGGATTTTTTTTTCCCCTCTCCTAGATCATTTGTCTTTAGAATTTGTTTGCTGATCCCGTTTGTTTATGGGGCCAGGCGGGGGTCCCCACTGCCCTGGGTACCCGCCCTGCTGTGCCCCTCTCAACGCGTGCCTATCATCACTGCTGGTTGATTCATGGTCGACTGGTCAGTGTGTATGTGTGTCCCTTGCCCGGTTGCCCTCCGGTCCCTCCCCACCTCCCATCAGCATACGCAGCACACACGTGCTAGATTTGGGTGAGGGAACAAGATTGAGGTGTGTTGGGCACCCTGACTGGCTTGTTTGCCCCTGCAAGGTGACTGGAGAGGGAAGCTGGCATCCTGGGATGGTGTCCTGGATGATGTTCTGCAGAGCAGGGGCAGTGCACCTCCAGGGCTGAGCATGTCTACGTGTAGCTGGAGTGCTGCTCCCAGGGATCTGCCCTGGGAAACTGAAGTTGAAATAAAAAACTCTTTGTTGTGGGCATGTGACACAGAGAGCCCCTGAAATCCACCTGGATTCCTGGGGGGACAAGGCCATTTCTTTGAGGTGGTGACATCAGCACCATAGCTTGAGTTGGGTAAGGGTACCAGAGGTGGGGGAGGGAGACATGGGGGAGGCCGGAAGTCGGGGAGGAGAGGCCAGGGGTATAGGTGAGGAACATGGCCTCAGGGACAGTCTGGGGGTGACATCGACAGGATATGGTCTTAGGTGGTTATCTCACACTCTGCTCTCAGGGGAGAAGGTGTGGGCAGGTGCATGTCCTCCATTGTCCTGGCCACATGGCCTGGACGGGGAGGAGGGCTTCAACTGGCCTCTTTTTGTATAAATCCCTTAGTCAAGAAGTCAGAATAGGATGCCCCTGCAGTCATCCACAGCTGTGACCTGAGATCCACTTTCACAGGTTCCCTGGAGAGTCCGGTGAGGGCTGACAGGACCACTGACATTTTATGTGTGGTAGTGAGTGGTATCTCTGTGACCCACCCCTACTGCCCAGACAGCTGGTTGCAGAAAGGGAAACCAAGGTGTGAAGTGGGTATGACAGACCCCAGGTAGCACCTATGGTCCTCGGTTCCTGCCTCACCGGACCCCAGCAGGCACCATTCGCATCTTAGAACGCAACAGCAGATCAGAATTTTTGTGTTCATCAGAACAGAGTGCATACCATACCACACGTGTGTGTAAGACACATGCACACATGTGCATGACCTGGGCACAGATGACTACATACAACATGCACACATGCAAACATGCGCATATGCACACAGATGATGTACATGCTCACACATGCAGATGTACATGTGCCTGAATGCACACATGTGTGTGCAAACATGCTCATGTATACACATGTCATGCCTGTACAACAGGTACATGCACAAATGTACACAGAACTCAGGTGCATGCACGTATGCATGCATGTGTGTGTGCACAGTTTCATAAACTAGCCCTTTCCCTTAGTGCTTGCTGTTTGCTGGGTACGCTTGTGTTCTTTGCCACAGCCCCCGGCTGATCCAAGGCCATTCGGGTGGTAAGCTGCCATGTAATCAGCACTGAGTGATGGACTCAGAGCCTCCTGGGTTCTGTTCTCCTGGCATATAAGTGGGATCGTGCACTCCTCGTCAACCAGCACAATTATGCGTAGGTAATGGGAGTGACACATGTGATCCTGTCTTCCTGATGGGCCCCCTGTCTCAGTGTGAAAGGGGACACTTCACACAAGAAGGCAAAATACTACTCCTGACACTCAGCTCCCAGCAAGATACCTTTGCTTCTCAGAAATACCCAGGAAAGCCAGCAGAATGGGCACTTTATCCTATTGTTTCCATTTGACTATTTAGGCTGTGACTCCTGCTGCAAGATCCCCTGTGATTGCAGAGCCAGGCTGCGGGCAGAGTGCATGGTGGCAGCGTGTCTGTGTAGGTGTGGGGTATGCTTTGCTTAGCAGTTTCAAAATTATACAAAACAGTATGTACAAACCTCTGTGTCCTCCAGCTGTGTGGAGTTTCTGCAGAGTATTCATTGGTCATTGGGACTCGGGATTGCTTAATGAGTGGGTCACATTGGTAGCACAGCACAATGTAAGAGACCTCACCTGGCCTGGGCTTCTGGAACCACCTGGTGGTACCTCACTTCCTACGGAGGGCAAGAGAGCAGTGTCCCCACCCAAGGCCAGGGGCCAAGGACAACATCTCTCCCACATGGTGAGCATTTCTGAGAGATCCTCCATGGAGAGTGAGCACTCACAGCCTCCCCATGAGGCAGCCTCTCTTCCTCCTGGTGCAACTGGTGTTACACTTAGAGTTCGGGTTACACCTTTGCTGCAGTTTGCCTGGCCAGCCACCCCGCTGGATCCCCAGAGCAGGGCTTGGCGTGTGGACTGGAGCCTGTTTCTGTAAATAGTTATGTTGGCACACAGCCACACATTATCGTGGTGGACTTGAGTAGCAGGGATGACACTGCAGGACTCGAGAAGTCAACAGTAATGCCCATCTGTCCCTTTGTGGGAAGGGGGTGCTGCCTCTGCCCAGTTTGTGCCAGTCCCCGGAGAAAATGAGGAACTGGGTGCTCCCTCACCTCGAGGGCTAATAGTAGGTCAGGATGGGGAACAGATGCCAGATGGGTGGGAGCCTGGCTGGTGGGCCTCCAGGCCCAGAAGAGTAATTGCAGAGGGGGTGCCAGTGGGGAAGGTAGGAGCAGATGAGGCTCAGTGGTGCCCAGCGTCTCCCCGGTGGGTAAGTGCCTTTGCTGAAAGTCCACGTCAGTTCTTCCTCATGAAGTAGAGCTGAGCATTGGTTGTACCTCATGGACACATGTAAAAACAAAGACAATAAAAAGAAAAAGGACCCTATTAAGCTCAGAGGGCTGCTGAGGACTAGCATGCTATCTGCTGGGCTTTGGGGGCCAGACAGGTACACTGGAGGGCACAAGAGATGATGCAAGAGGTGACTTCCCCAGATGGGATGATGAAAGGGCTTCCTGGAGGCAGTGACTCGACTAGGTGAACAGGAAGCCAAACTTCTCCTAAAACCCTTTTGGAAGGTTTGTCTTGGCCTGACGTATAGGGGAACGAGGTGGGGGAGTGAGGGCAGCTGGACAAGTGCTAGTGCATGGGCAGCTGTGGTGGGCTCCGCGGGGGAGGAAATGAGGAAACTCGCTGCCCCTTGGATATCATTGAGGCATGGTGAGATCAAGAGTCTAGCAGTGCTGATGGGGTGAGGGGAAGGTTCCGGAGAGGAGCCTGAGGTGTCAGTTGGACTGATAGACCTGGAGGTGTGTTGCTTGGTGGGGGGGTTGGGGGTGGAGGGATGAGAAGGATGGTCATGGCCAACTCCCAGGGCCTTAAAGAAGAGGAAACTCAGTGAGGAGGTCAAGCACCAGTGGGCCCATGAAGCCTCCTGGGGGACAGCATGACTGCAAAATGTGAGATGGGATCTGCTGTAACTTAATTGTGCTTCCCAAATGTGCTGGGCAGGGGTCCTGCCTCTGCTCAGCCAGTGTGTTGATTGGAGCACCTTCCTGAGAAGCCATAAGAGACCATCTCAGAGTCTCACTGGGATCCTGGCAGGGCCCTGGGTCAGGGCAGGCCCTGCGATGGATTACCTGATTTACTGATCTGAAACCAGCTGGCCTGCAGCTCACATCAAGGAACCTTATAGATGGCACATGGGGCAGGTAGAGTGCAGGTGCCAGGAGGCCTGTGGACCTCCAGCCCCACAGTTTGTCTCTTCAGCACAGGCCTGTGCTTTCAGTGAGGTACTTCTTCTCAGTGACACATCAGAGCCCACAGCCACTGTTTCCATGGCACACAGACTTTTCAGGGAGGCTGGAGGAATGGGCCCATTGGGGATGGAGGTCCTGTCCCCTGCAGGAAGTCAGCTACTCCTTCATGGCAAGTTCACACATGTGCATGTGTGTGTAGACACACGTACATTTCAGCCTCTGTGCTGCCCTCTGGCCTCTCACTCCGGCCATCTTTCTTGATGAGCAGTACAGCTTCAGAAGCCAGAGTCTCTGAGGGAAACTGAAACTCTGGTCCTTTCTATCGCATTCCCAGCTGGGCAGCCAGGTGAGCGTTTGTCCCCAGGTCTGGGTCCCCCTGTCTGTCCTGCATTCCTGGTGGCCTGAGGGGTGGGAAGCACTGACTCCTGTAACTCCGGCTTTGCCACAGAGCATCTGAGGTACAGTGCGTGCCCCCTCAGAGTTTTGTGTGTCCCTGCCCCCTCAGCTTCTCAGCAGAAAGAGCCCATGGCTGGAGCTGTGGGGAGAGCAGAGCTCTGGAGGATATTGAGCAAACAGAAAGTAGGCCATGTTGCCACATGCTCTGACTGGTAACCCCTTCCTTTTGGCTTTCTTCCAGAGTTTCTGCGGAAGGTCAGAAAGAAGCACACCACTTAAGAATAGAACCAAGAGTCCTGTGACATTTGCTGTGGCGAGAGCCACCTGACCCCACCCAGTGTGCTGGGAAATGTGGGTCCTCAGGGGTCACGGTGCCTGTCAGTTCCAGGCAGTGCTGCAGGTCATGTCCCCGGGGCTCTGAGCAGCCTCCACCCCGACTCTCCACCCGGACCCTCACTGTGGCCTCCCCTGCCCACAGGCATTTGCAGCTGAAGTCCCTGCCGCAGCCCCTGCCGATGAGGATGTGTGTCCCCCCTGGGGGGCTGCTCACTGTCCTCGCCATGGTGTTTGAGACAGCGGTGGCATTCGCACCCATACCTAGGATCATCTGGGAGCACAGAGGTGAGGGCAGAAATGAGTCAGGTGCTGAGAGCATCTGCTTGTGAGACTGAGATTCATGTGCGCCATTGGCTGGCTGGTTCTGTGCTCTTGGCTCCTGTGTGTGAGCAGGCAGCTTGCACCGCCACATTGCAGGAGATATTTTGGTAACCGGAAACACTTGCGGGACTAGTAGGGCCCCCTGACCTGGTATCTAAATCCAGAGTCCCTAAAGCAAGCCCATCTCCCTGCCTGGTGGTATTTGGTGCCCGCTATCTCCGGCAAAAACCACACTGTGTCCTGTATGGGCACCTGAGCTTCAGGCTGGTGGTTCCCATTTGCTGTTTCTTATTTATGTTTTGTTTTTATTTCTTCTCTTGGGAGCTGTGTCTCAGGTTTGGGACCCCAGCTTTCCAGGCTCTGTGGCCCTGAGCAAGGTGAGCCTGCAGGCTGGGCTGTCTACGCAGAGCTCCAGGCAAGAGGTGTTCTGGGAAGGCCTATGTCCTGTGGGCCTCGGTCTCTGATGATGGTACTTAGAAAAGCAGGGGTGGTGAATTCCTAACCCTTGAGTGAAGCCAGACCCTGGTAATACATAGAAAGCAAAGTTCAAAACACCCGCATTGATGTTGGGATAGTTAAAAAAAAAAAAAGAAACAACTCTTTAGAAAATAATGCCAATCTATTTATATCACCCCTGGTAGCTAAGCAATTACATTCTTCCTGTTCCTAAACAGCTGTTGATCAATTAATTATATAGGAAGGGAAAATGTCACTTCCTTCTCTGCTTTGTAAGTTTGTGTTGGTTATCCCTGAAAAATGCTTGGGTTAAGGGATATATTCACTGAAATGGATTTTATTAAAGGTAATTTTTTTTTTATTATATAAGAAAATCCTAAATAATTAAATTCTTTATGTACCTAATCTGTGGATGGTTCAACACACACAGACAAGAGTTTGGTATAGGGTGCAGGGAGCTTCCATGGTCAGCAGCTTGAGGCATCTGGCCTGCAGTCTCCTGGGAGGTCCCAGGTCACACTGCCAGGAGGCCACACTAGGTGCAGCGTTTGGAACGCTAGGCTGGAGGGAGCAGAGAGAAGCCTGACCACAGCACTGGTCAAGCACAGCGGCTCTGGGGCCTCACAGGGGTCCCATGCACTTGGTGGCTGCCTCAGCAGGAGTGCTCCACCCTGAGGTGCCTGATCTCTGGCCTGGGGGGTGGGGGTATGGGGGTGTGGCAGTACGTCAGTGCTGAAGGGAGAACAGATGCTCAGGATGTGCCCAGACTCAGAAATATCTAATGCGCTTCCCCTACCTGGACCCTGACCCCTCTCTCCCCAGAGGTGCAGCTGGTGCAGTTTCACCAGCCCGGCATCTTCAACTACTCAGCCTTGCTGCTGAATGAGGACGAGGACACCCTGTACGTGGGCGCCCGGGAAGCCGTGTTTGCTGTGAACGCACTCAACATCGCCCAGAAGCAGCACGAGGTATGGCCTGGGCTTCCTGCTCCCCTGTGGCCTGGGCTGCAGACCTTTGCAGTGTTTTCTGTGCACATCAGCACACAGGGCTCCTCCCCAGTTGTCAGGCCCTTCCTTGGCCGTGCTCACCCTGGGGTGGGCCTCAGACATCCTGTCTAAAGAGCAGCCTCCCCTCCTGTCAGTGGGCCAAGGGCCTTGTCATCTGCCAGCTTCATTCTTGCTCTGTGTCCGCACAGCCCCATCTCAGGTGTCCCCTAGCAGCTTCACCCAAGGACCACCTACCCTCTTTTCACTTGAATGTCTGCAGTTGTGATTATGGACAAACTCAAGGGTACACAGGCGTGGAGGGACTGATGTGCTGGACCCTCTGCCCATTGCAGCTCCCGTGGGTCGGGGAGGGCCCCTTGTCCTCCCCCCACATCTTCATGCTCTGCTCCCTCCTCGTGGCTTTGAAGCACAACCCAGATACACAGTCCTCATCTTTTAAATGTTTCTCTGGATATCTCCTAAAGGAAAGGACTCCTTTTTTTTTCAAAATAACTAAAATACCATTATCACATCGAAAAAATTAATGTTGTCAAATGATCAGTGTTCAGATTTCACATACTCTCTCACAAATGATGTTAGACTCTTCAGTTTGAATCCAGTGAAGATCAGGCCATCTGTGTCCCTGGGCACTGTGTCCTTCGAGTCCCCATTTCTAGGAGCCTTCCTGGCCCTTGGCTATTGCAGTCTAGAGCCATATGTTCATCAAGGATTGTAAAATGGGACTTGCCATATCTTTACTCTTTTTTTGAACCGGAAATCACCTTTAAAGAGAAAATGCCTGTTGCTGGCTCATGTCTTTCCAAAGGGAGACCAGGAGGTTTTGATTGTTTCTTTTCTCTCTTTTTTTTTTTTTTTTTTTTTTTAGTATGACCATGGGCTCATGGCTTTAAACGTTTTTGAAGCCCCTTGATCCATTTGCATCCAAGTCCTCACTTGATGCCCAGATTGTCCCCTCCCTGACCAGTGGCACCTCTCTTTGGCTTGTGAATCCTTAGTGGTTGGTGTAGTTTTCTCAGTGTGTGAGCTGGTTCAGGTTCAGCTTGTGCATTTTCTGCCCCAGACTTTTTATTTTTTGTTTTGTCTTAATCTCCAGAGCCTAGTATAGTACCAATTTCTGTTTGATACATAAATGAGCTGCTTCTGGTCATTACCCTTTGAAAATAAAGTGCATGTGTGGCCCCCTGGATGCTCAGTCAGAACTGTCATTGCTGTGTACATGGCATTACCACAGCCCCTTGGGGTGACAGAGAAGCTTCAGGGCCTCCTCTATGTAAAAGAGAAGAAAAAATGAAAGCCACAGCCAGGCTTTGGTGAACCCTGTGAATGGGATCAAGTTCATGTCCCCCTGTTTTGGTGCATTTCATGTAGATAACAATGAAATCATCTGTGTTGTCATTTCTGAAGGAAGTTGCTGTCTGAAATGAGACTTGATTCCATTTTCGAGTGTCATAATGGGAACTTTATTTCTCTGAAAATGTGCTGCTCTGGTGCTGTGCCTGCTGTTCAGACCTTGACTGGAAGCTGAGTTAGTGCAGAGGACACATGGCGGGGATTCACCTCCCTGCCCCTGAGAAACCTGCGTGCTTCCTGACCTTTGAGCCTAGGTGGCCAGTTTTGATCCTCTGGCTGGGAAATACATATATTTGGCCCTGGCTGGTGTGGCTCAATGGATTGAGTGCTGGCCTGTGAACTGAAAGGTCACTGGTTCTATTCCCAGTCGTGACATGTGCCTGGGTTCCTGGCCCAGACCCCAGTTGGGGGCTTGTGATAGGTAACTGACTGACGTTTCTCTTACACATTGATGTTTCTCTGCCTCTCTTTCTCCCCACTTTCCCCTCTCTCTAAAAAGAAATAAATATTTTAAAAAAAGAAAATATATACATATTTGGCATCAATTATGGAATAGCCCACAGGGAGATGGGACAGCTTGAAAAAGGAGAGGCAGGGGTATGGGAGCCCTTAGTCATGTGGCCTGTTGTTTCCCTCCTCTGAAGGGCTAGCGACCCCCTGGCCTGATGGTCCTCTACACGCGTCCACCTGGTGTAAGAGGCAGGAACACAGATCTCGGCGGACATCGCTCGACCATGCTCAGCTATCCCTGTTGTGTAAAATTTACAGAACCTGTTCAATCCTGCCATTGAGCCAATAGTGGAAGTAAATGTCAAGACTTCTTTTATTGGGCTCTAAGGCCACTTTTGAATGGATTTTATTTATTTATTTTTTTAATATATAGTCTTTATTATATTTTTCCATTACCATTTAGTCCCTTATACCTCCCCCCGCACCCACCCAGCCATCATCGAATGGACTTTAAAAACCCACTTTGATGTTGGAAAGTACCTGCAGTTTAGCTTTTTAATAAATTTAATCCTTTCCACCTTCAGTGGTTCAGTTTGTGCTGCTCTTTGCTGTGAATAACAGGGATCTGGGAGACTCCTCCCAGGCCCCTTTGACTTTGAAAGGAGGATTCCAGTCAGAGCCTTCACTCTGTGTTTGCTCTCTCAGCCTTGTTTTGCAGTCTCAGGTTTCACTGTCCTGGGAGTTATCTGCTGGCAGTGCCATCAAGTGCTTTGTAAACTGAGCATTCTTATACCAGTGTCTACTTTCAAAAGGGGGACTGTGCACTGAAATAGATTCTTATTCCTCCTAACAGGCATATTGGAAGGTCTCAGAAGATAAAAAAGCAAAATGTGCAGAAAAGGGGAAATCAAAACAGGTAATTTCTTTTGCAAGCTACAAAAACACAGGTAAGTACCTAGTTGATTTAATCTTCTGAACGCCACTGCTTTTGGAACGCAGCCTGGGTCTCTCATGACTCACCTACCCCTCTAATTCCCAGATGGTGCGATTGGGTCTCTCAAAGTAAGAATCAAACCTAGGCATTTGAGAAATACTTTTTAAAGTTTAACTGAATGAATTTTCCAAATGACCTGAAACTTTGACTATGGAAAGTGATTTCTGGTACCTGCTGGCTAATGGTATAAAATGTAGGGTTTATGCCTCCTGCATCCCCGTGGCCTGAAGGGGTTGGAATAGGATTTCTAGATTTTTGGCAACACTCACCCTTTCTTCAGGAAAGGGCTCCTCAGTTGTGGTGCCCATGCAGGCAGTGCTGGACTAAGTGTCAGAGTATTAGCGTGGTGGCCATGGGAAGAGCCGAGCCTGTGTTCATCTCCTCTGGCGCTCTGGGTCACCCCTCGCCCAGAGGGCAGCCTTGCCCCCAGCTCATGCTGGGCAGATGTCAGAGTCTCAGGGTCTAAGAGCCTTGTCTTCCTTGATAGTTAGTTGGTCAAGACAGCTGAGTTATGGTCAATTTCAGCAGTTGTTGGCTGTTTTCAAAATAATTAAAGCTTTTTTAAAAAGACAAGTAATGTTTTGCTAAACTTTTTTAGCAAAATGCTAAGTACTTTCACTAAAGCCACGAAATCCAAAGTTACTTTAGGAAATGAGGGAAAATGCAGGCATTTCAATGTAATAACAGATGTCTCAGGGAGTTGTCTTCAAGCTAAATTAGACCAGAGCTTTGCCTGGCCCGAGTTAAGGCCATACAGTGGACAGGGGTCCCTCCCAGCTCTTGCAGGGAGCATGAATTACTTCCAACCAGATTGAAAGCAATTATTTGGTGGGGGGGAAGCGGCGGGGGGACCTTTTCTGAATGGTGATAATTTCAGATGATAGCACATGTAATCCAATCACATTTCAGCCTTAAATAGCAAGTGGGTCCTTAAGTGGCACCTGGTTTTCCTACAGCCTTTCTGATGTGGAGCCAGGCTTGGAGCCCCATCATTAGTCCAGCCTCTTCCCCTGGACTGGGCAGGCCGGACACAGCCAATCCCCAAGCATTGTTTCCAGTGTCATGTGTTGGGACAAGGAGGGTGGGGTCCCCCAGAGGAAGGGGCCAAAAGAACCCTACACAGCGTGCACCTCTACAGGTCTGTCAGCAATGCATAGTTTGTGTGTTCAGTGAGTAAAAATGCTTTTTCTGTGGTGGGTGGTAAGACTTGAGGTCAGCTTTCATTGCTTTTTTGGACAGCACATCTTTTCTGGGCATAAAATAATGATTGCTGTGAAATGCCCCATTTGGCACTGACAGCCAGCTTGTGGACACTGCAGAGACCAAAGCACTCTGTGTGGCTACAGATTGAGGTTGGCCCAGCAGCAGGAATGGATCTCCGTGAGCCGCAGGGAGAGCGGGCAAGGCGGGGCCGGTGTGGGAAGGGGGAGCGTCAGTGAGGCCACAGTCAGTGCAGTCAGAGCTGCTCATCCAGAAGCTGACGTTGCCACGTGCTCTGCTAATTTAGAGCTCTGAAGTGAGCGGCGTGACCAGTGTGGATGTGGAGGGCATCCAGTAGAAGCTGGTGGTGGTTGACCTGTGCATTTTTCTTCCTTGTAGACTGAATGTCTCAACTATATCCGAGTGCTACAGCCACTTGGTGCCACTGCCCTTTATGTGTGTGGGACCAATGCCTTCCAGCCGGCCTGTGACCACCTGGTAAGGCCTGGGCCCCTTCCCTGGTCAGCATTACAGCAGAGTGGGGTTCCTGGTAGGTATCAGGCAGTCTGACTCTCCACAACAGAAACTTATTCAATTTCCAGCTGTGTGAGGAGGGGCAGCTCAGGCCCACTCAGATTCTGGTGTCCTGTCTATAAACCATCATGACTGAGGGCGGGGCCTGGGCAGGACTCACCGGACCATGGCCCCGGGTGCAGAGCTGGCATGGGGGGACCTTCTGGGAAGTATACTGTTGCTAGAAAGAAGCACCAGTGTGCCATAATCCAGCATCATGCCTCCTTCTTGTCCTGTTTTATGTTTTGTGAGGGTGGCCTGGCTATGACATAGGTCTGGCCAAGTGTGAAAGTCAGGACTTTACAACCCTGGGGCCACTAGACTGCCACCTCCATCTCACAGATGAATAAGCTTAGACACCAAGGTCTTGAATTGCTCCTCAGAGCCAGGGTACCAGGGTGCTGGCATCCAGCCCTGGGACCACTCTAGTCCGCTGCACACACACCCTCAGTGCCCCCAAACAGTGCACCCTGCACAAACTAAACAGTGCACAAATTAAAATTAATGATACAACAAAAATGCCTAATTACTACTGAAATTCAGGCATTTGATGATACTTTCTTCCATTCAATTGTAGAACCTAACATCCTTTCAATTTCTCGGGAGAAATGAAGATGGCAAAGGAAGGTGCCCCTTCGACCCTGCACAAAGCTACACGTCTATCATGGTTGGTGAGTTGTACAGTCAGATGCCCATCACTGGCAGGGCTGTGATGCCTTTCATGCCTATTGAGCACATACACAGGATGCTCACTGCCTCCCCCTTTTCTGTAGTCCCCCCTGCTTCCCTTCCATAGTCACTGTCCTCACAAAGATACATGTGCCTCTCCTTAGACCCCCTGACATGAGCTTGAATTCATTGTTCAACACGATAGCCAGCCCCCACGGTCAACAAGTTGGACCTGTGGGGAGAGGTTATTTTATAGCCATCATTTGTGCAGATCATCTGTGTTACTTGACCACATAGAGTTGACGCTCCCATTGGAGGGGAATTTTGTGACTGAGCCCTGGAGCTGTCTCATGCACTGAGACAAGCAGGCCCTGAGCTTGTGCACCCCCTGTCATGTTTTATTTTCCTGAGATGAGAGTCACTTGCTCCTCTTAGTTATTATTCCTGACTCTCATAAGACAGTTTGACAAGGAGCATATGATTATCTGTTTCAAAGAAATGTGTGTCCCAGGAGCAGGCAATAGTTCCTCCATGTCCCACGGCGCTTGCGTTGGAGTGTAAAGGAAAGTGAGGGGTTCAACATCCATCTCAGCACTGGTGCTGACTCCCTTCTCCTTTTTCCTCCTGGGCCCTGAAGATGGAGAGCTTTATTCTGGGACATCTTACAACTTTTTGGGAAGTGAGCCCATCATCTCCCGAAATTCTTCCCACAGTCCTCTGAGAACAGAGTACGCAATACCTTGGCTCAACGGTAAGAAGCAGGCAGTACCATCAAAGGTGTGTCTCTACTCAGGTGGCATCCTCACCAGGAGAGCCCCACGGCACTGTAATGCTAAAACCTTTTGCTGGCTCGACCTTTTGTGGGCTCTGGACATTGTCAGCCAGTGGTGGGTGAGCTTCTGGAACTGCTTGGGGCTGCACAGCCAGCTTCCTGGGCTTCCCTGTTTTCTTTTCCACTAAAAGATCATTATTTTAAGGCTGCTTTTACCCTCCTAGAAAATAGATCAAGGAAGCTTTCCTAAAATGAGGATCTGATGGTCGGTGGGAGCTCAGGCTGATCAGATCAGTGTGCGATGTTGCATGTGTCCACATTGCATTCACGGTGCAGAAGCCTCAAGGCCACTCACATGAGGCTTCTCTCCTGGGCACCAGCCTGCAGGGCCATGGCTTGGAAGCCTCCTGGACTCTCAGAGGCAGATGATCTGAGGGACAGCATGTTCCTCCTCTTTGTGGGGTGGCCTGCTGGTCAGGAGTTTGTCTGAGACACATGCTGTTAAAACCAGCAAATGCACAACTACTAGCAGGTCTCTGGGACGGCGGGATCTGGCTCTCCTGGGCCCCAGGCTGCTTGTCAGTTGGGAGGCCCAGCTTCAAATTCTTAGGGCAGATCAGGAGCTTGTGCTTCAGAACCACATCAGGACACCTCTTGGGGCTGAGGAGAACAAGATGGGCATCGTCATCACTCCAGACACTGGAGTTCGTTTGGGACATGACACATGCACCCTCTGTGTCTTGCAGGGAGGGTGTGCGGGGACATGCCCAAGCTCCTTGGCATGTGCTGGGAGGTGTCCATACCCCTTGGCATGTTCAGGGACATGCCTGGGTCCCTGCATAAATTCAGGGATGTGCTTGGGTCCTTCTCTGTGTGTAGGGGGTGCCCGGGCTCCTCGGGGGTTTTGGGGGATAACTGGGCATCTCTTCCTTGCAGAGCCCAGCTTTGTCTATGCAGATGTGATTCGAGAGAGCCCAGACAGCCCTGAGGGCGGGGACGACAAGATCTACTTCTTCTTCACAGAGGTGTCTGTGGAATATGAGTTTGTCTTCAAGTTAATGATCCCTCGGGTAGCAAGGGTATGCAAGGTGAGGCTGTTTCCCCATTTCTCTTTGGTTCCATCTGTGGGGACAGAACATAGGATTAGTCACCTCACCCAGGCCCACACTTTCCACAAAAGGTTGATTAACCTACCGTCCTGTTCCTCAGTGCCACAGGGGTCAGTGTGGACGGTTCTTCCTTCTGGGGCATCTAGAAGGAGCTGGAAACCCAGGAAGCTTGGCACCCTCGAGTGACCAGTAATTGGCTTCCTGTCCTCAGAGGGCCTGCTTCTGACATGCTTTCCTCAGACTTCACCTGGGTTACTGAACGTTACTTTTTGTTTTTCCTCCATTGTCCTCCGCCAAGAAGGCAATCCATACACCGTTGTCCATGTCCATGGGTCATGCATAGCTCCTCTGTTCCCTGTGCTGTACTTTATATCCCCATTCAAAGTGATTCAAAGTAATAATGCAAAATGATAATGCAAAAGCTATCATTTAGAATGGAAGGGCAGATAAAGTGCTTCCTAGGTACGGTCCAGTTAAAGGAGTTCATCATCACCAAGCCCTTATTATATAAAATGTTAAAGGAACTTATTTAAGAAGAAGAAGAGGGAGATCAAAATTATGAACAGTAAAATGGCAATAAATACATACCTATCAAAATAAAATAAACAAGCAGAACAGAATCAGAATCATAGATACAGAGAACATTTTGATGGTTGCCAGATGGGACAGGGGTCAGGGAGATGGGTGAAAAAGGTAAAGGGATTAAGAAGTACAAATTGGTAGTTAGAGAAAGATACTTTTTATTTACTTTATTAACCAAATTCTGTTGGAATTGAGATTTCACCATTCCGATGTAAAGATAATAAGGAATCCATTTTCAGTTGTATCCAAAATAGTTAAGGATGCTTTCATTTTACATCCCTCTGCATGCATATTTCCAAGTTTCAGTATTTCTCTCTGGACTGAATCATGGCAGGTGTGCTCCGTGATTGTCACTAAAAAGTGTTTATGGAGAACCTGGCAGGTCCAAAACACTTCAGCAGAAAATGCTGGGGATAGGAAAGAAGGGAAGATCCTGCTCTCCCATGAGGAGCATTGGCAGGGAAGACCAGACCTATACACATTGGCCTGAGACGGACTGGGGAACCTTGACTGCATGGGTCACTCATGGACACGCACAGGCCACAGGGCCAGAGCCAAAAAGTGCAAGAACAGCCAGCCGCTCTGACACTGAGTGTGGGCAGGCTCAAACAAGTTGTTCTAGCTACCACAGGTGGCTTTTCATCAGCAGAGTTTTGTTGGTTTAGTTTTAATCCACAGCCTGAGCTGCGTGGAAGGACTGCTAAGTCACTTAGTTGTCTGCAGTTGGCTTTTTTTCAGCGTGGCTTCATTTTATTCAGACAGAGCTATTCTGGGCCCCAGCACCTCATTTGTTACCTGTGCACAGGGAGTATGCCCTCATTCTCCCTGCGCATCTTTGCATTTCAGGGGGACCAGGGTGGCCTGAGGACCTTACAGAAGAAGTGGACATCCTTCCTGAAGGCCAGGCTTATCTGCTCCAGGCCAGAAAGCAACCTCATCTTCAACGTGCTGCGGGCCATCTTCGTTCTCAGGTCTCCAGGCCTGAAGGAGCCTGTGTTCTACGGGGTCTTCACCCCACAGCTGTAAGTGCCAGGGCTTTTGGGGTTTCCTCCACACCCCCACCCTCCACACAGTCACATGGCCTTTTCCTCCCCAGGAACAATGTGGGGTTGTCCGCCGTGTGTGCGTACAATCTCTCCACAGCCGAGATGGTCTTCTCCCAAGGGAAGTACATGCAGAGTGCCACAGTGGAGCAGTCCCACACCAAGTGGGTACGCTACAACGGGGCTGTGCCCACGCCAAGGCCCGGGGCGGTGAGTGAGAGGGGCCTGGGCTGCGGGAACCTAGTGCGGGGCGACCATGCTGCACCCTCTGCACACACCGCACACACCCCTGTGCCACACCCAGGTTTGTGTCAGTCTCTTCAGGGAGTGGGCATCCCCCTGGGACTGGACTGGGACGGTTCACAAGCACTCTATCCTCTTCCTATTTTCCTTTCATTGTCATGTTGTGTAACTGCTGTTGCTTCATACTGCCCTAACAGGAATCTGTTCTGTGGAATTACGTTGCGTAATATCATTGGATCTGTTTCTTTTTCTGTTTTCTGTAGAGAAACACATGGTTTCTTGGCAGAGACAGCTATACTCTCTACTTATTCGTATGAATCACACTTCAGCTCTTAAAAGTAGTGAATTTTATGTAGAAATCAGTTTCTAGGCCTATTTCGTTTCTAGGTCGATTTGGCTGTGAGCATTCATTCTGTGACTGGTGTGTGAGGCTGTGTGCGTGGCCCAGGAGGGGGTCTGTGACCTGAGGGAGTGGCCTAGTGCCTGGGGCTCGCCCACAAGAATGTCTTTCCTCCCTGACGCCAGTTATTATTTCTTCCGTACATGTTATTAAGTAAAACATGTTCACTTGGGTCACAAGTTTGGGGTTGTGCACATCCCTTTGTCAAAGACCACCCTCTACGTCTTAGTTTAGTCTGGGAATTTCAAAAATATGTCCTGCTTTACAAGCTACAAGTCTACATCAGCCTTAATTTGTTATTCATTTGTATGTCTTAGTGGCAACTTAAAAAGAAAAAAAAAAACACCCTCTGATGGACAGAAAAAAGAATACTTCATGCTCTTGACCCTTAGGGTACTTAGAATTGGACCCTTTTTTAGCAATTTTTTACCAGTCTTCTTCCTTTATGGGAAAGCTATCAAATAATATTTATTTTTATTTCAAAAGCTTAATATTTTTTTTTCACTTATAAATAGATAAAAAGTTACCTCCCTGACTATCAGGAAATAATTATATTTTGTGGGTCAAAGAACACTTGCATTTCGACATGCTTTATAACACTACGTCTTCAGATTTCTGAGAAATGACCCTCTTGGCTCTTTCCCTTTTTCAAGAAATCCACTCTGCAGCTCCTAGTTTTGTGCCTTCTGGAAGCCCAGCTTTGTGCAGAGCATGTGGGGCTGTCTGCGGGTTATGGTTAACATGGTGATGTCTGCTCCCTGCAGTGCATCAACCACGAGGCGCGGGCAGCCAACTTCTCCAGCTCTCTCAATTTGCCGGACAAAACGCTGCAGTTTGTCAAAGACCACCCTCTGATGGATGACTCCGTGACCCCGATAGACAGCAGGCCCAGGCTGATCAAAAGCGGTGTAAACTACACACAGATTGTGGTGGACCGGACCCAGGCCCTTGATGGAACCATCTACGACGTCATGTTTATCAGCACAGGTGGGTCCCAGGCCTTGGTAACAACCTTGGTAAATCCAGCTGGCCTTTGCTGAGTGGAGCTACTGTCTCCCTCAGTTGCACTGAGCAGTTTCTATTTCTGAGAATTCTCCACACCCTGGTGGCTTAAGATCTCTGTGACCATCAGACCACTTGGGCACTTGTTAGAAATACAAGTCCTGGCCCAGATCTGGAAATTCAGGTCTGGTAGGTCTTGGGTCAGTGCCAAGGGAGCCAGATGAGAGCACCTCTCTCTTGCCTGCCCTGACCTGCCACGGGAAGCAGTGCCCCCCAGGAGCCCATGGATTAGGAAACAAGTATTCCTGGAATGGGAGTCAGTGGCCAGCACAGCAGTAGCTAGCAGAGCTGAGGTTGGCCACGGGTGTCTTAGCCATGCCTCTGAGCAGCAGGGAGGGCCCTGCCCTCACCTGTCGGGGGCCATCTTGGAGGATGGCACCCCCTGGGGGCTGGTGGCACCCAAAAACCACTTTAGGTTGATCTTACATCACAGTGTTGGCTTCACTGATAGGGGAGTTGGCATCAACAATGACGGTTTATTCTTCATAAAACACTGGGAATAACTGATGCCACATGAGCTTCCATTGTTTATTTTGCCATGGCTTTTCCTTTTCTATTTTTAATGCAAAAACACCACCTATGCCTATGTCTCTTGCTAAGGGAAGAAGTGAAGAGCAAGAAGGGGGACTGTTGACAGCTCTGGCTGACAGTGTAGCAGCGTCCCCTCCTTCTGGGGAAGGTCACTGATCTGTGCTTTGACCTTGCAGACCAGGGTGCCCTGCACAAAGCCATCAGCCTTGAGAACGATGTTCACATCATCGAGGAGACACAGCTCTTCCAGGACTTGGAGCCAGTGCAGACCCTGCTGCTGTCTTCCAAGAAGGTAAAGTGGTCATGCGGCTAGGCAGGGTGGCCCTCTCGTGGCCTCGCATCTCAGTGGTCGCTGGGCTGGGGCTGGTCCAGAAGAGCCCCCCTTTGGGTTCTCAAAGAGTCCTTTGTTCTGTGGGGTTTGAGATAGAGGGAAGGCAGTCTTAGAAGATAAAACTTTGTCCTGAAAGTTGGCAGAACCTCACTGAGTCGTTGGGGCCCGCGTTGTGCATGGGGGATTGTGTGCTGGCCTACGATAAAAGCACTGCCAGTGACCTGAACTTGGCGAAGTGAGACCCTGTCAGCAGTATGCTGTTGATGTGGCCTACATGTCAGCATAGAAAGCCTAACTCTGGGTAGTGCTCTCCCCCCTTAGATGAGGCACCAACTCTTACATCAGGGCTGGCAGACCTTTTCTGTAAAGGGCCAAGATTGTGAGGTTCTGAGGGCCACATGGTCTCAGTCTCTGCCTTGTGGCACAGAGTGGCGGGGCCCGCCCATGAGTCAGTGGGCCTGTTTGTGCTCCTGTAAAGCCTTAGTTATGGACACCGAACTTGCAGTTCATGAAATTTTCATCTCATGTCACAAATATTCCTTTTAATTTCTTCAACCAATTAAAAATACAAAGGCAATTATTAGCAGTGGGGCTGTATAGAAACAGCCGGGGGGCTGCATTTGCCCTGCTGGCAGCAGGCCATCTCCTGGCATCTATCCACAATGGCTTGGGGAACGTGTGCCCGTTTTATGACTGGAGTGGAGCCATGTGGAGCAGAGGGCAGACTGGGCACTAGGGTGCCTGGTCCAAGCCCTGGCCCCGTGATGCCTGACTATATGAGCCTGGGCAGTCCAGCCCTGCCTCAGTTTCCTGATCTGTACAGTGGGGACAGCAGACCATACAGAGAAGGGACCTCACTTCTTGTGAGTATCCTCACACTGTGACTCCTGAGCTGATGGGCTCTAGGGCCTTGGCAGTGCCAGGGTTAATACTAGAAATTGCCGGTGGGCCATGTGACCTATTCCCCTTGATTGCAGACGCACCCATCACTCAGCCTCTCCTGCAGCCTGTTTCAGAGCCTTGTCGGGGGCCTCAAGCTCAGCTGTCGTCCTATTCTGCTCTGCTGCTGAGCATCTGGGTTTGACCTTCTGCCCTCCCAAGCGGTCCTCCCTTTCCAGGTATGGGTGGAGCTTCACAGCCCCTCAGCACTTGCTCCCTGCCTGGTTCCTGGCAGGAGTCTCCACCCAACTTGTTGGCCCAGGCCCGCTCCAACCCACTCTTCCCTCTGCTCCAAACCGTGGGCCACCCGTAAAAGAAGAGCCGGAGACCCTTCCAGCAGCAACCGTGTTGCTCAGGTGCAGGGGCCAGCACCCTGGAGGCCTCCAAATTGGTGAATGCTCATCAGAACAAAGGTTGGGCTCCAGCACAGACATGCGGTGACAATGAGGCTCTGCCCAGTTCCACATGTCACTCAGGGACCTACACTGGCCCTGCCATCTTGAACACAAGGCTTCTGAGGCACTTGGGTGCTGATCTAGTAGTAGGGAGAAGGTGACAGGGTCGGGTGTGGGTGCTTATGGGTCAGTCCTGTGTGCATATGCCTTCAGCCAGGACTTCATCACACAGCTATGCCCAGAGGAAGAACTGATACCCCAGGGGAGCAGTTTGCATGTCCTAACAAGAGCCCCCTGCACTGGGGTGTGACTCTTTTGCCTAGGACAAGTGGGAATGCACCCTGCACACTATGGCCTCCATTGCCTTCCCCTCAGGCTGGTGGGCTCTGGGTGGCTGGGGGGGGGATGCCAGCAGTGCTTCTGGTGCAGCAAGAGGCAGGTGTTCAAGGGTAAAAAAGAGCCCCCTGCCCTGCTCCCTGCAAATAAGGCCTTCGCGCCACTCACGCCTGGCCCCGTTGTAGAAAGCCGGGGAGCGCTGCCACAGGGCTGTGGGAGCACAGACAGGATAGCACAGGAGAGCACATGGCCCCTCCTCTTCCCTTGTCCGTGCCTCCTCTCCCCTGATGACAGGTGCTTTTGGTTTGTTTTATATGAAAATACATACCACATAAAATTTACTGTTTTGACTTTTGAAGTGCACACTTCACCAGTAGTAAGTGCATTCACGTTGTCATGCAGCCATCACCACATCCACCTCCAGAACTTTTCTCCTGCAAATCTGAAGCTCTCTCCCCATTAAGTACCAACTACCTGGTCCTCCCATCCCAGCCCTGAGCACCCATCCTTCTCCTTTCTATCTCTGTGAGTTTGACTATTTTAAGGACCTTGTATTTTGTGACTGACTATCTTCATTTAGCCTAATGTCCTCAGGTTCATTAATATTGTAGCATGTGTCAATTTTATTTTTAAGACTGAATGATATTCCATTGTACAGATGGACCACATTTTGTTCACCCATTCATCCATTGAGGGACACTTGGGTTGCTTCCACTCCTAGGCTCTGGTGCATAATGCTGCAGTGAACAAATGGTGGGTGTACAAATATCTGTTTTCCTGCTTTGAATTCTTTGAGGAATGAATGGCAAACCTGATTTGCACAGTCACCTTTGAGCTCACAGAGCAAGCTGTGTCTTTTTCACAAGGACACTTTGGCCTTCAGACACTGCCTACATGGCAAAAGAAAAAAAAACATCTTAAACAGCTTCTTCAATTCTGTCCCCATGCACCAATCACCCCTCACAGGGTTGACTGTGGCCTGTGTGCACAGAGACCACACCTGACAGTGTAAGTCCAGTGCTGCGGCCAAGGAGCTGCGGGGGAAGGCTGGGCACACTGTATACCTCACAGATGCTGGACAGTCCATTGTCAAGATGTTTTTCCTTCGCCTTTAAAGATGTTTTATTTTGAAATAATTTTAAATTCAAGGAAGAGTTGGGATGAGAGTGCAAGGAGTCCCTCTAGGCCCTTCACCCAGCACACGCCTATCTCATCCGAGGGGTTCAGGTGGCCCAGCACACGGTGGATACCCCACATTCCCATGACGCCATTGTGGGCTCCAGGAGGGGCTCCCCAGGCAGCACAGGCCACCTATTCTGTGCTGTGTGAGTGTCCACGCTTTTGCTAGGGTCCCTGTGTATGTCCTGATGGCCCTTTGAAGTTGCCTGCTTGGCCTCTTGCCCCAGGAAATTTTTCTCACCTCTGCAAGCCACATGATTCCCCAGCTGTGATCTCTGGCACCCTCACTCCTTATGACTGTAGTGGGCACGTGCCCTCTTCTGCCCAGGTCTCTACTGACGTGCACGGGTTGACACTGGGCCTGGTTTTTTCTGCTTCTTGTCCCACAGTCTTACTGCACTGCAGAGGGGATTTCCCTTCTCTCTGCTGTGCTCGCACATGCTGGGCCTATGACCTTCAATGCATCACAGGCCAGGAGATGTGGGGCCACACCAGGGGGGCTCCAGCCAGACCCTGAGTTAATTCAGACCTGTCCTCTGAGGATGAAGGCCGTGTGTCTCATTTGAGTCAAAATATTAAACTCTTTGTAAACTTGGAATCCTCTAAGTCTAACCAGAAGATCTTTCTGGGATGTCAAAGTGACATGTAGGCTCCTAGGCAAAGGAGAGAGTGAATACCAACAGCTGAACTACAAGTCCAAGATCTGCTCAGGTGGATTTGTGTGGGTCCTTGTTCCAGCCAAGCTCAATGAAGAAGTCAGCCATCCCTGACGGTCTGTGTGCCAGGCCCTATGCCAGCTCTGGTCACTGCAGGAGGGAGTCAGAGGGTGGGGACATCCCAAGCCAAGCATTCCAGAGCACTGAGGAGTCTGCTCTGCTCTGCTTCTGACCGTGGCAGTCAAGTTTCCATCTGCATACCCCACCCTCATAAATGCAGACATGTGACAAGTGGATGCCGCATTATTTTTATTTTACTAGCATGGTGTTCACTCTGCAGCAACCCTTGTTTGTACCCCCTGCTGTTGGCCAGGCTGGATGCAGACACTGAGGACACTGCACTCTGTGCTCTGGTGCCTGCGTTGTGTTCTAAGGCTGTGCCCTTTGGCCTCTGGGTCTTCCTCACTCAGAGCTGTGCTCTGCTGGTGGTCGGGAGGGTAGTGGGTGCCTGGATATGGATGGAGGGGTCCGGGCCAAGGCCCAGTTGCACCCGTGTTAGCGTGCAGGTTTTTGCTCGAAAATCGTGCACTGCTCGTGCTTTCACACACTGCACTCAGATTTGTCTGGAATGTGACCGTGTCTCGTTCCTTCTGCAAAGAAGCACTTTGTCACCCTCCCTGACATGTTGCTGGCTGCCCTGGGCCCACCCATTTTCATCTGTTTATACCCACAGGACAGAAGGTTTATCTATGCCGGTTCCAACTCGGGCGTGGTCCAGGCCCCCGTGGCCTTCTGTGGGAAGCACGGCACCTGCGAGGACTGCGTGTTGGCTCGGGACCCCTACTGTGCCTGGAGCCCTGCCAGGGCAGCCTGCGTGGTCCTGCACCAGACCCATAGCCCAAGCAGGTACCCAGCAGGGGGATGTGGGGCATGCAGGTGCTCCGCCTGCCCTGCCTCAAGAGCACGTGTGAACTTTGCACCCCTCATTTTGCAGGGGCCTGATTCAGGAGATGAGTGGGGATGCGTCCGCTTGCCCTGGTAAGTTGCTCGTTCTCTCTACGCTGCCTTCAAGATTGGCCAGTCCTGTAACCACTTCATGGTGCTTTGGTGCTGTGGCATTTTGCATTTTTTTCTTTCTACTCAGAACAGAGGTCAAGTATCTTTTGGCAGACCTTGTGACCTTTCTCTGAACCTTTTATTGCGGAAAAGGATGTTTGAAGCCATGCGGTGTATTTGTGTACTGGAAAGCACTCTTTATCCCAGCTATAATGTCTGCTCTTAGATGCATTTCTCTTCTCTTAGCTTGGGCTTGTTAAACAAAACCTGCACCTCTTGTGAACTCTAGGAAAGATGAGTCCTCAAGCAGTCAAGTCAAGACACGGGTGCCATTCCCCTTGGGTGATACCATTGCCTGCCAGGGAGTCAGACATGTCTCAGCAGAAGGCAGACATGCCATGGGCTCCTGTCCTTAAGTCCCTGACCTGCCGGCTCTCATCAGTAAAGACAAGTTTAGGAGGAGGAGAGCACCTCTCAGATGTGTGCAGTGGCCACTAGCAAAAGCGTGTCATGTTTGACTCAGGGTGTGGCTGTCACAACACACAGCTGGCTGGTGCTCAGCCTCCCCTACCTGATGTGTTTTCTCCTGGGAAACCAGCATGTGAAATGGGATTTCTGCTGCCCAGAGATGCCTCCGATTTCTTTGTCTCCATGAACTGCCATCTAGGGGTCATCTTTGCTTTTTGGTCACGCATGTATTTATCTCCTTAGTTGTTCTGGAAGATTCCATGTTGCGCCAGTGGGTGAAACTTCTGTGTCCTCTTGTGCGTATTGACCTATTTTTAAAAGAAGTTAGTGAACAGGGTTGTTGACACTGTGCACATTTATTTTGATGTTCCAGATAAAATTAAGGGAAGTTACCAGCAGCATATTTTCAAGCACGGCAGCACAGCAGAACTCAAATGCTCCCAAAAGTCCAACCTGGCACAGGTGGTATGGAAGTTCGAGAATGGTGTTCTAAAGGCTGAGAGCCCTAAATACAGCCTGGTGGGTAGGAAGAACCTGCTCATCTTCAACTTGTCAGAAGGAGACAGTGGGGTGTACCAGTGCCTGTCAGAGGAGAGGGTCAAGAACAAGACAGTCTCACAGGTGGTGGCCGAGCATGTTCTAAAAGTCAAGATGGTCTCATGGACCCCAGTGGCCTCTTCCTCACCAGCCACCCGGACAGAAGGTATTAGGATCACCCCCGAAGTGTCCCTGGAGCCCATCCAAGGCTCCTCTCCCCAGACCCCAGCTGTGCGGCTTACCACGCCTTCCAGCCTGGCACCCACCAGTACATCCTGTGAACCAAAAATCGTCATCAACACAGTCCCCCAGGTCCAGTCAGAGAAGACGATGTATCTCAAGTCCAGTGACACCCGCCTCCTCATGTTCCTCTTCCTCTTCTTCTTTGTCCTCTGCCTTTGCCTTGTCTCCTACAACTGTTATAAGGGCTACCTGCCTGGGCAGTGCCTCAAATTCCGCTCTGCCATGCTGCTGGAGAAAAAGCAGCCTGCCTCAGACTTCTCCGACTGTGAGCAGAGTGTGAAGGAGACACTAGTGGAACAGGGCAGCTTCTCCCAACAGAACGGAGGGCAGCCCAGGCCAGCCCTGGATACCGGCTATGAGACAGAGCAGGACACCATGGCCAGCAGAGCACCCACTGACAGAGAGGACTCACAGAGGATCGATGACCTTCCTGTCAGGGACAAGCCATTCGACGTCAAGTGTGAGCTGAAGTTCGCCGACTCAGATGCAGATGGGGACTGAGGTGTTGCCTGAGGAGAGGTGTTTGTGTTCCCATGCAGTAACCTTGTCCCGTGCCGCGTAGGTAGCCCGTCCTCTGCAAACCTCAGTCTTGTGTCTTTTCTCTTGAATCGAACTTTGACTTGGTTTCTCTTTGTCCTTTCGGAAAATGGCGAGCATCACAGCTGGGCTCCCTCAGTCAGTGGGAGCGCTGTGGGCCGTACCTGCAGGCAGCGGGAAGATGGCTGGACTGCCACTGGCCTGGGAAGAGTAGTACCTTGAGTGTCACCTCCTCAAAAAGCAGCCACTGAAAGATAATTTAATTCCAGATTGGAAATGACTTTTTAGTTTATCAGATTGGTAACTTATCACCTGTTGTCCAGATTGGCACAAAGCTTTTCTTCCACGTAATTATTTTTTAGGATTTTGCTTTAATCGCATTGGAGGGTTAGGACATTTATTTTTTAAATTACTAAAGCAGATGTTTTAATATTCAGAAGATATACATCTTCTAGATTTTGTTGTATGTTTGGATAAGATACGGCTTACGTTGCTCAAGATTCTCAGGGATAAACTTACTTTTGCTAAACGCATTCTTTCTGTTTTTAGAAATGCAGGCAAAGCTGTCCGTTCAGTTCACTGCCTTTTTTTTTTTTTTTTTTTTTTTTTTTTAATTCCTTCAGGGAAGCATCATTTCAAGCAGATTTTCTTTCTGTACTCTTTTTTCTCTTTTTAACTCATAAAGGGGAGAAGACATGGAGGAGTGTTCCATGACCACTAGTCAGGGTTTTGAGCAAGGGGTGGTGGCCCCACTGGGTAGAGCTGGGCTGGCCCAGAGCTGAGGGGACAAGTGTCTAACGATCCATTGCCTGTGTCCACTGGTCACCACCTCCTATCCAGATGACTCTGGTCATCTGAACACCTCCTTTTTCTTTTTGCTTCCATTTCACACCTCTTACTCACTCAGACTTTCCACTTGGCTGACCTGAGCCGTCCACAGCTGGAAGAGACCTAGGCAGCAGGGAAGATGGACCTGTGTCCACAGCTGCCCACAGACACCACTGTGGTAGACCTGCATGGCCTGGCACTGTCTTTAAGATGTGACAAGTGATGCAATTTAACATCGTTCACCTCACACTCCACCTCCCGCTGTCCAAATGCCCACAAGAGGAGACTTTTTTCCATGGCAAAGAGCAATAAACTGGATTTTTTTGTGCCTGTGTGGACAGTCTCATCTTCCAGCATGATAGGATTTGACTGTTTTGGTGTAAACATTTGTGTTTTATAAGATTTACTTTGTTTTTATTTTTCTACTTTGAATTGTATACATTTGGAAAATAACCAAATAAATGAGAAGCTTATATCCTAGACGTGGGCATGTGATTTGCTGAGGCCATGGGGCCTCCTTCCCTCCTGAAAGGTGTGATGGGTGGGGTGGTTGTCTTTCTTCCCCCCTCTGCGCATGCCTAGGTAAGGTGCAGGACAGAGCCAGGTCCCTTTTTCTTCCTGAGCTTGCTTTCCTTCTCTGCATGTGGTGTGTTCCTGATGACTTCTGTCTTAGTACCCTCTCTCTTTTCTGTCCTCTGTCTCGCAGCCTCATCTCCTATGCCCTTCCCTCCTCCGGGGCCCTCCTCCCTGTCCTGTCTGGGCCCTGACTCATCTTCCTCTCCCCGAAGCCCCTGGCTGGCCTTGGGCTCTGGGCCTGACAGCCGCCCGCGGGTCACCTTGCTGCCGCCCTTCCTCAGTGACCAGGCCCAGCACGTGCATGCCTTGGGGACCTTCCACCTCTTCTGCCAGGCCACAGGTGAGCGGGGCACCTGTCCGAGTTGGGGGTGGGGCTGCAGGGGCCTTCTTCAACAACACTACCTTCCTGGCTGTGTATCTGGCCCGCCCAACTTGACCTGCAAAGACTGCATGTTAACTATTTTAGGATTAGCAGACCAGAGTTCCTGTCCCAACTGCTCAGCTCTGCCCTTCTGGCCTGAAAGCTGCCACCGAGTAGATGTGGCTGTGCGTCAGTCAAACTATTTACAAACACCAGCCACAGGCCAGATGTGGCGCAAAGGCTGAGGCTTACCAATCACTGGTCTGTAGCAGCAATTTTCCACCTTTTTCATCTCATGGCACACAAAAGCTAATTACTAAAGTTCTGCGGTACACCAAAATTATATTTTTTGCAGATCTGAGAAAAATTGGTGTAATTTTGATTCATTCACACTGGACAGCTATTGTGTTGGCTATTGTCAGTTTTTTATTTGACAGTATAAAAGGGAAGAGATCAGTGCCCCTGACTAAGTAGTCAGGTATTGAATGACTAAGTAGCACTCTGGTTGGAAACCACTGGTCAATAGGATTACTTATGTGTCTGAAAACAATTTGATTTTGAGGACTTTGGATATTTCAAAAATTAACTTCAGAACCTCCAGAATGGGAATTGTTTTAATGACTTGCTTGGTGATATTTAAATGCAGAAAAGGCTGTGAGCCTAGTGGATGCCCCTCAGACCCGGGAGGTGTTCATTGGATAACACTGGGGTGGGACATCAGGCAAACCCACCTTTGGAGCGTGTATATGGGCATCTAAATAGCCACAAAGAGAAAACTAGATGTTAAAGGCCTGGTTGCTCTGTCCTTTGCTGAGAAGAGGAATTAAATTAATGAGGAAAAAAGCAAATCCTGTTTTGTTTAGTTTTTTGAGATTTTAAAAAAACTATGAGAAGCTAAGAATGTCAAACTGCTGCCTATCTCCCTGTTGAGTAAGCACATGAGCCTCTGATCATCCTCTCTCTGCTGTGAACCAGCACGTGTGGCCACCGGTGGCTCTGCACAGGCCACAGGTGCTGGGCAGGGGAAGTTGCCTAAGAACGGGAGGTGGTGGAGCCAGACTACAAGGATGGGTCCATGTGGCCCAGGCCTCTGTTCCAGGTTAGGTCACCCAGATACTGCTCCTGCACCAGTGATTCCTTTGGGGCAGCATCTGGGAACTGCTCCAGCCCCTGGGCCTGGCCTCAGCAGGCGCACTGGCACCCTCCTTTTCAGTGGGAAAGTGGGGAAGACGGTGCTGAGTTCCCACAACCTAGCAGAGGATGGATACAGGCAGGCCCTGTGGTCAGGAGCCATGCGCTTTTACATGTGAGCGCTCAGGTGTGTGTTACACCTGTTCTCTGGGTGTGTGCATGCCCATGTGTTCATGCACACAGCCTCTGGGATGGGGAGAGGGTGAAGACTAGGGCCTGGGAAAACAGACATTGTGGCTGGATCAGAACAGAAGCCACTCTGGGTATTTCAAACATGGGGAGTTAGTGCAGGGGCTTCAGTTACAAAGATTATGGAAGTGCTGGGGGCCAAAGGGAGGTAAGAGTCCTCAAAACATAGTAAATGCACTGCAGGTGGACTCCTCCAGCCATCGGGCAGGAGCAGTGAGGAGTCAGAGCAGTTACCCGCGCCCCGGCCCCTGCCCCCGCCCCCACCACCTGCTGAGTGGCCATGCCTTCTTTGTACTTGCTGCTGAGGGGCTTCAAGAAGCCTCCTGCCCATATTCTGTAAGTTCCTCTATGGTGGGTCCTAGAGGAGCACTGATGGCCTTAGCCCATGCAGGAAAGGTGGACAGAGGAGAGTGAGGAGCCAAGAAGACAGACCCCTCAATACTGCTGGCCTGGGACAGCAGGAGGAATACATGCACAGGATGGGTGGACCAGGGAAACTGAGGCTCCCAGCCCTCCACTGCCCTCATGCTCGTAGGTTCACTGATTCTTTCCAGAGTCGTTTGCCCCACCTTGGACCTTCCCTTATTCCACTGAGGCCACCTGAGGCAGTGGGGTGGCCTGGAGTGGACTGGCCTTTCTAGGGAGCCTGTTGTGTCCTGTTCCATCCAGGAGAGGGTGCTGTTTAGGTTCTGTTCAGAGTTAAGGCTGTCCCAAGGGGCCCAAGGCTCTGCATTTGCCCCCAGCCAGTTCAGGTCTGCAAACTGAATGCCTCACACACAGACACTCTGCACACATGCCACACGCACTGCACATGCCACACACACACATACTACACATGCACATATCACGAACCGCACACACACCCCAAACAGATTCCACACACTGCACATATCACACACCATGCACCCACATGCATGTGTCATGCACATCACACAGCACACATACAACACAGTATACATCACATGGACTCCACAAACTCCACATAAACTATACACACAAAATATACACACCGCACCCCCCCCATATATGGGATCTTTGGTGCCTCCTGGAGATAGGGTGGTGCTTGCAGCTCCCCCAAGAACAGACCCTCTTTGGCAGCACATGAGGGAGAAGAGAGTGTACCAGACAGTGCTGGGGGAGGGGAGGCCTCATCCCAGACCACCCTGCATCCTCATGTGGCCTCTAGTGGCCCCGAAGTCCTGCTCCCACTCCATGATCTAGAAAGACTCCCTTTCTTTTCTGTTCTTTTCAGCAGGCAAAAACCAGGCAACGGCCCCCAGGGACCTCACTGATGGGCCTTCAAACACCCATTCATCAACCTGCTGCTCCTAAAAGCAATTTGCTATTGAGGGACAGAGCAGATGAGTAAATCCCTCTGAGGCCCCACACAAGCCTCTTCCTGGGCATGTTCTGCCACAGGCATTGGACGACTCCAGTGACACGTCCAATCTAGGCATGCATTGCCCTTTACCCCGAAATCTAACCCACAAGCCAGTGCTGGTTCACCATGCAATGTGGTTGTTCAAGTAGATGGTGGTTAACATGACAGTATATCCAGCCACACCTAACTCCTGAGTACTGGAGGATGGCTGACTAAAGGCCAAGTCCCTCTTCAAGCCATGGTCTACACAAGTGTTGGTTGACGTCTCTACAGCCAAGGTGCCTCCCTTTCCAGGTGACTTCCTGTGATGTCGCCACAGAGCTGAGTTTATGAAACCATGACACGGGCTCAGACTCTGGCCCAGCTAAGGCTAGGTTGGCTTCTAAAGGTAGGCACGGCCTCAGAGCTCAATGACTCTGCTCACCGTCTTCTCTTCCTCTGCTGACCTTATCAGTATGGTATTTGTATATGTACATGTGTGCGTGCCTGTATGTGCATTTGCATGTGTAGGTGTGTGTATGTGTGTGTGTTCTTTTTTGGTCCAAAGCACCCTGCACATTGTACGGTGGCCACATCTCCACTCACGGTCTGGGGCCTGAGTGTGGCAAGAATTCTGGATTCTGGAGTGGTTGTCCAAACTGCTGACTTGTCTTCCATCTGGAAGGGATTTACATGCATTATGCAGAGTTAGGAGAATACTGAAAAGGAAAATAAAGGGGGTTGTGAGCTGGAGAAATAAGTAAGCATGCAGCTGTGTTCCACTTTTCTGAAATGATAAATCCATGCTCCTTGTGGAAAAATTAGAATCATACAGGTAAGTAGTGAAATAACCCCACTGCTCACACATAAGTACACGTAGCTTTATTTTGGCATATAAACGTGGACATAGAGGTGAGAGCAATTGGTAGTGATGTGTCCCTCTCATGCATATGCAAATCATGCACTTGCATATGCAGGTGTACACACACGGAAGTAGATCTATGTAATTTTTAACAAAAGTAGAGTCATTCTCTACCCTGTGGGCCCTGCCCCGATCCTTGATAGGACTGTCCTTCTAAGTCATAGCTAGACGAGTGTCATTTTTAAAGCTAAGAATGGACCTCCTATATTTCAGGTAGCATTTGGATATTCAGATTTGGGTGGCCTTTTATGGATTAACTGCAATGTCAGCAATCAGAGCTCTTGAAGCCATTGGGGTCAGAGGGCCAGCAAAAGGAGGCCTGGGTCTCAGGAGGGTCCTGGTCCCCAACCTCCTGCAGTGATATTTGGTGCGAGTGAGTGTGTTGGGGCTCCTGAAAGGCCAAGGATGAGCTATTGGGGGTAGTGGACTTCATGGGTTGGTCATTTGCCACAAAGGGTCACCCCTCCATATTGGGGCAGGGTCACCCATCATCACCTTGCTAGAGTCAGTGTTTAGCTTGTTTGATGAGGTGGTTTTTCCAGAACCTGAGCATTTTCTCTGTTGTGTGATAATCCATATGCCTTCACAACAGAGGAGGATTGTCCTGTGGTTTCTGGGAATCTCCTGTGTGCAGGAGTGTCATTCACAGAAGGGAACGCCACCCCCCTGCCCACCGGCATGAAGCTAGGAGACCATGTAGGCACCTCCTCACAACTCCCCAACATTGTAAAGCATTTTTGCTAGATACAGTTCCAGCACTTGAGACACACTGAGGAGGAAGGCCAACGAAATCGGGTGATGGAGACCTGGGAGAGTACTTTTTCCCTTCCCAGGTGGATCTGCTTGATTTCTGTGCCTTTGTGGACTCCAGACCTGCAGGGCAATGCATGGTCCTGGGAGTCTGGTGTGAGTGCCCTTGGTGCATACAGCCCCTGGGTGCCTCAAGAATGTCCCCCCAGGGGTGCACCCAGGCTCCTAGTTGCTGTCAAGACCCTGGGTGTAAGAATGGATGGTAGGCTAGCTCACTGGCCCATGGCCCTGGCTTCGGAGTAGACCACATGCATGGGGCACCTGGAGGAGGCTTTCCTGCGTGGAGCTGCAGACAGCTGGGAAGCACCTGGCAGGGATGTGGCCAGTACGTGGGGTGGATCCCATCACATCCCCTCTATTTGGGCTCTCAGGCTCCCAATACCAGGATGGCCTGGCCTCACTCCTTGGGGAGAGGCCACTGGTGTCGGGTTCTGGTTTTGTCAAAAAGTAGAATCACCTCTGCACCAGTGGTCTGTTCAGGTGATGTGGGGCGTGGTGGGGCAGAAGGCACTGATCCTGAGGTGAGTGCTGAGACTGGAGGCTCCCACCAGCCCCAGCCCACACAGACCAGCCCAGGGCAGTCACTGGGGACAGGCCCCACGTGTTGAACTTCCATGAGGAAAGCTTCTGTGGGATAGATAGGTTTCGGCTACCTGGGTCCCCACTCTGATGTCACAGTGTGGTAACCCTGCTGACCAATTTTAACTTTCACTTTCCCTCTTTCTCTCTAATTTCCTCTGCATTCAGAATGAGTTGGATAGTTTTATTTTAAAGAATAAATGGAACGTAAGTACTTCTTTAACATTTTTGTTTTACTATGGTTAAATCCACATTTAAAGAATATTTAATGATGATTAAGAATGTCCTCACGACAGAGGTGCACGTGGTATTTTTCATACTGTTCGTGTCCCAGGAGCTGTGGTTTCTGGGGATCTTTGCTCCTGAAAGATCCCAGTCCACATGGTTGCAGTGATGAGTCGGTCCTCAGCTCAAGCCACCCAGGTTCCTCTTCCCAGCATTTGTCATGAGAACCTTCCACAAGTTGCTGTGACCCATTTCAGGGGCTCCAGGCCAGTGGGTGTCATCAGCAGGCAGTGCTAGGGGATGAGGAAGGAGACTGGGCTTTTTTAAAACTGACTCCAGTATCTGCTCAAAGAACAGTCTCGCTCTTGACTGTAATGCCTCACAAGAATCAGTTTTTAAAGTTAGAGTCCCCTGAGGGCCAGGGATGGCCAAACAAGAATGTGGTGTTGTGAAGTACGTTGTGCAGTATGTGTAGATGTGAACATGCCTACATGCAAAGGGAGATAAGTGTATATGTTCACATGTGTCTGTGTGCATATATGTGTGTATTTGGAGAGAGTTATCTATGGGCAGAGTACAAAACCACAGAAAATTGTAGTGGGGGAGTAAGAAAATAAAAACAAGTAAATAAACCTGGGAGGGCTTGTCCACTGGGCCAGGGTAGCCAGTGGGCTGCTGTGCAAAGCACTTTTGAGCAACTTTCAGAAATTCCTTCAGGATCTGTGGCATATTTTTTTTTTCAAGATAGCATTTTTTTTTTTAATTTACAAAATCACGATCTGTTATAATGAACTTGGAAACTCCAGGGAAGTATAAGAGTAAAAATTACTCCAGGGAAGTAAAAATTTAAATAACCTAAAACCATCTAAAGGTAGTCACTAGCATTCTGGCCATTTTTAGGCCTTTTCTCTGTGCATATATATGAATGTGTCTACACACATGTACACATGCATATTTACACATGTATGTGCATATGTATACACATAACAGACACGTATATCCTTTCATTGAAAATAATGTTAATTTTTTTCTGTGTTGCTAAATCTTTTTCTTAAACATGATTCCTAATGAATGACAACACGGTGGCTGTTACATCATTTATGGGACCCCTGTTGGACATTTCCCAACTTCTCATTCCCAGACACGGCATCAGTACTCCTCCATGGGGTCTGATCGTCGACTCAGGGACCATTCTCAGGACTGTCTGGCTCAAGGATCTGACCTTCCCTGGGGAGAAAGTTTCTTTGCAGACCCTGACCATGGTCGAAGGCTGATGAAGGGACTGCGCAGGGGTGAAGAGGTGCTATGTGGAGACCTGATAATGCTGAGGATCCACTGAAAATAATCTTCGTTAAAATGGAAGTCTCTCCTCTTTCTAAAAGACCTGGCGCATGCCAAATCTCTGCCTACCACCTCACCCTCCCAGGATGATGTCCAGGGCCGCCTCCACCTCTTCTTCCCCCTGCATCTGGCCATGAACACACTCCCACGCACACGCGCACCCAAATGTCTGTTGTTTTTTGTGCTGGTTTGTTAATCCTCGGCTCTATGATTTGTTTTCTGCTCAGTGGACTCCAGCCCCAGGTAGGCAGGTGTAGTTCTTTCTACTGCTGACTGTCCTCCGCAAAGCCATGTTTTATTTTATCCTTCCCAGGTTGGTGGGTATCTAGGAAGAATCTTGCCTTTAAAAATTGAGTCTCCAGTGGTGTGATGATCTGGTGGGGCAGCTCTGGGCCTCCTGCAGTGGATGGATTCCACACGAACTATCAGATGGTTGTCAGGGAGCCGGGTCCCTGGGCAAGGAGGCTGGAAGGTATCCCCTAGTCCATAATGTTGGGGTGCCTGCCCAGCGCAGACAAAGTGGAGGGAGCAACAAAGTCCGAGAGCCTGGAGGGAGTCCGGACTCCATCACTGAACCCATCGAGCTGTAACTGACCAGGCTGCTGTGCCCATCTGGGCCTGGCCTGGCTTTTGTAGCTGTCCTGACTCAGTGGGTCTGCACACACCCTGGCCAGAGCCTGGTGGTGCTTAGTCCTTTCTTCAGCAGACCCAGGTGGAAGACAGTGTGTACACAGACCACAGTGGAGGTGTCCTACCCATTTTTCCTTCAGTAAAGATGGAATTTGGGCCTGTCTCTGCACAGCCCCTGGCCCAGGGCTGAAGCCTGAAACCCACAGGCCCATCCAGCTGCTCTGTGTATGGGGAGGCAGCCCCGACAGGATGCTTCCAGTGCTGGAACCAGAGCCCAGATCTTGCCTAGATCTTGCTTTTGGCCCTCCATGCACTGCTCATCACAACCCACCGTCCCCTCCGTACTGGGTTGGAAGCTGGTCCCTGGTCCCAGTGGTGAGAAGCCTGGGTGCATTTGCTGCACTCCTGGCCCACGGCTGACTCGGCAGAGCTGAGACCCGACCGGGGGTGAGAGAAAGATGGTGGGGCCCGTTCTCCACTCCCCTCCAAGTCCTTATTTACATAGGATGGACCCTTTGCCCTTAGTGCCCTGGCACCTGTCCCCTGACGCACCTAGGAGCTCTTGGGGACAGTCACACCCACTTACTTGTCAAGCCCAGCCAGGCCCTATCAAGGGCAAGAGCTCTGGCCACTTGTTTGGTGGAGATAGTGGGTGTGGCTCGGAGGAGGCAGAGCCTTTGGCTAAAGGTGGTGGCATCAGGACTGGGTGATGGGAAGTGGGAAGGCTGAAGCTCCCAGGCCCAGACCACCAGTATGGAACAGACACCCATCCCGAGGGCACCACCACCAGGTACTCCCCTGGGGGTGCGCCCCTTATGGCCTGAGCACATGTTCAGATGCATTTTAAGAGAAGCGACTGAGGGAGGCTAAGGAGCAGGTACACAGTATAGTGAGGGCACTGAGCATGTGTGTCTATTTCTTTGGGGGTCACTGGGGAGCACAGTAGGCACCTCCCTCAGCCTACTCCATAGGCAGGCCAGGGACCAAGCTGAACGCTGTTGTGTCACTTCAGGTGTAGCTGGGACAATAGAAGCCCCCAATCTGAGCAGCCTCCAGCTCCTGACCCTGCACCAGGGCAGTTTCTGTGGGTCCCTGTGGGGTCCTGGGGCATGGGGTAGAGCTGGCCTGTGTGCCCTCAGGTCCTGCGGATATTCGCTTTGTCTGGGAGAAGAATGGGCGTGAACTGGAGATGTGTGTCCCTGTGCAGACCCACACACTTCCAGACGGCAGGGCCTACATGCTCAGCTGGCTACGGGACACCATCCGTGAAAGCTCCGAGTACCGCTGCTCCATCTTTTCATCGGCGGGGAGCCAGGCCTCTCAAGTGCAGGTCACCGTGATGAACTGTGGTAAGTGGTGTCCCTCACCCTGGCCCTGCTTCAGATCTCTCCTAGGCCAGGATTTTTCACTGTTTACTGTGTCTCCCATAGCAGGCTTGTTTGGTGACATTTCAGTCTGACTCTAAGAAAGATGGAAGCTCATTTTCACTGCCTGCCTCCACAGGCCATGGATGCTGGTCTCCTATCCTCCCAGAGTGTGTGTGACATTGTTAGGATGGTTGAGCTCCATGGGTCTGTTATGATGGCCCCTTCCTGTACTTTTGTGTCCTGTGTAGGTACTGCTGTGCTAAGCTCCATCCATTTGGTTTTGAGTTGTTAATTTTATGCCAGACTCTGCAGTTGTCTTAAGTCCCTGATCAACAAAGACATAGTGGTGTCCTATCCTCAGCCTCCCAAACCTCTGCACTGGGGGCCACGTGCCTCCCTAGGCTAATGCCTGGAGGCTAGAGGTTCTGTTTCTCTGACTTTGGAGTGTATGTCCTGTGTCCCAGGCACACTTGAATTTTTCTATGAAGTTTGTCCTCCAGCCCACCTCGGGGCATCTGGGAAGTTGGTGTTTCCCCAGTCTGTTTCTCCTCTGTCTTTACACTTCAGATGAGAGTTTGGCTGGGTAAACAGTTCTGGCCTAAAGTCATCACCTTTGTGTCTGAAGGCTTACTCCACCAACCTCTGGCTCCGAAAACCTTGCCTGTGACCTTATATGACCACTGTCATTTTTAGCACCGTGCAAGTTCATGTTTTCATGCCTGCTGGATCCATCACATGTAGAAGCCCCTGACCTTCAATTCTTGGAGATTTTCTTGAACATTTGCTTACTGTTCTTCACTTCATTTTCCATTCTCTTTCTGAAAATATTTTCCAGGATGCTGGGGTACTTGGGCTGGCCCCACTACCTGTCCATCATCTCTTTGTTATCTGCCATCTCTCTCTGTTTTCCCTCTACTTCTGGTAGCTTTTCCTAACTTTATCATGCACACCTGTAGTGAGTTTTCATCTCTCTATCACATTTTTATTGGTAAGAGTTTTGTATTCTGTTCACATTAAATCCTGTTCTTGTTTCATGAATCTAGTGTTCACTCTTCACTCTCTAAGATTATGGAGAGATTTATTCTCAGTTTCCTTCTCCCTCCAAGTTGCATTTTCTGTTTGTCTGTCTTCTCTTTCCTTCAGAAGTCTCCTTGCCCTTGATTGTCTGTTTACATTTCAGAGAGACATATAAATATCCCTCCTGCTGAGGCCCATTCTACCCAAGTTGTAGCACTGTGCACTGGTGCTACAAGACCAGTGCACAAGGTCTGTGCACTGGCAGCATTAGCATTATCTGGGAGTTCATTGGAAAGCTGATTAGAAATGCAGAGTATCAGGTCCAGCTGCAGATCTGCTGAATCACAGTTCTCCAGGTGCCCCAACTTCTCATCTGCCTCACAGCTCTCCACTCTCCATAGTCCCTGGGGGGCATCGGTTTCAGCCCAGACTTGGAGCAACAGGCCCTCCAGGACTTCAGTTGGGCTGTCGGTGGGGACTTAATTTGGGCAGGAGGCCAGGGCCTCATCATTTAGTATGGAAACCAGTGAACCTCTCTGTTTTCAGTGCAAGCCCCCCACCCCACCCCGCCCTCGTCAGAACTTGCCCAAGCCCTCCTGTCCTTTCTTCTGGAGCGAGAGAGAACTTCCCTGGCTGGGCAGAGCAGGAAGGGACCCTGAAGGACACAACTCTCCTTCTAAACAGCTTTTAAAACGAGCTGCTAGTTAGCACCATTGCAACACGTCCGGTTCCGGGCCGTTCTGTACGGTTGCTCCTTGGTTTCCCCATTCAGCCTAGAATTCAGCCTCCTTAAGTTGGAGGTTTCCAGTGGCCTCTCTCTGCTTCAGCTTCCATGCTTTTGCTATTTCCTCTGCTATTCTGTTTTCAAAAGTATATATAGTGTGTAGATAGATATTTAAATGGTACTGTTTTTTGTCATTTTAATCAGGGTTTTGGAGGCAAAAATAATAATTGTAGATATTCATTGCCACCCAGAATCTCTGTTCTTTTCATTTTTGTAAAATGTCCTGCCTATTGCTGCCAGGGTAAGATAGAAAAATTGTGTAAATTTGCTGTGTGAACTGTAATGTCTTATCCAGCAGTTAGGTGAGCAGTGCTGTCAGCAACTAGGCAGCTGAAGTGCATTCGTGTTTTACCTCATCTAAGTCAGTTAGTTGTCTTATGCGGTATGAACTGTTACCCTAGTTGGCAGGTGGTGAAAATTAAGTGACTTGCCCCAGGTCACACTGCTCCCAGCCAGTATGGAGCAGGATCTGACTTTGATGGTTGGACTTGCTTGGGTAAGTCACCACAGATAGCAGACACAACCACAGTCAAGACACCTCAGCATTTTCTTACCCTACCCAGACCTTATTGAAGGCATGGGAGCAGGACGAGTTTAGGATGTGCTGTGTCAGGGGTTCCTACAGTGCCTTGGAGTTAAGGACCACAGGCCACAGGCAGGCTGTGTGGGTGCCGTGACCCTGGCCCTCTTAGGTCTGCCCAGGGTGTGAGCTCTGCTTTCTGTCTGAGG